CTTGATTGAAAGCTGGGTCATGTGACCAAAGATTTGGTTAGGTTGGGTCGAAAAGGCGTGTTAGATTTGGTGAGTGGTCAATAAATGAATATATATGTAGTTTATAATATGTGACTTTGTATTTTATTATTAGGTAAATCGTGAATATCGTTTCCGAAAGGCCAGGAAGTCTTTATTTATAATTGTTAATTGCATTATTTACATTCCCATGAATCTTCCATATCACAAATATCATCAATAAATTCAATATCAGCCTTATAGCCAGTATTACTAAGATCTGCCATTTCACCTAAATTATTTTAATCTGGCAGTTCTGACATCTAGCAGATCTGGGATTTCTGGGCGGGAACCCAAAATAGTGTGAGCCCTGGAATCCGAATCATCTACTGTGGCCAAAGTATGACCCTAGATCACGGGTTAAGTGCATTTATTGCACTTGTTGCATTTATTACTTTGGTGTATTTATCGCATTTATGGCATTTGTGGAATTTGTTAGATAAATTAGCTTTATTACATAAATTATATTTGTGGCATTTATGTCATTTATTCTAATATCAAATCTTTTATTATAAATAAAGGTCGCGAAGGCCCCGAGAAAAAGAAGTTTCATGCTGCTTATAATTAAAGTTCCCTAATAATTAATACCTATTGACCCATAAAAATCTTAAGATTCTAAATAAATACCGCTTTAATAAATATCCCAAACCCAGATCGATCACTAAGTGACATAGTGAAAGATCTTCATCTGTTAATTGTCTTGCTCACGTGACTATGTAAACGATTATTGTTTTTCCAGTTGATTCTTGACGTACTGAGAACTTCCGTGGTTGGTATTCCGGTTTGAGGTTAAATCGTGGTTTGGTTTTCCAACTCTCCCAACGTACCATGGATAGTTGTGATTATTGTGTTCTGGTTTGAAGCTAAGTGGAAGATCTCAGCAGTGGTTTCGATTGAAAGTATTGTAGATTATAGTATAAGCGTTAGTGTTTTATCAAGGTTACAACATAAGTGGAAGAATACACCTACGATCTCAAAATCACTCACTTGCCAAATCCAAACGCCTCACTTCGGATCGATTAATGACCGACTCACCGATTTTCAGCCTAATAAATTCAAATTAATTTTATATTATTTATACAGTTTAAAGTACTTTTTGGAAAAAACAAAACTACGAAGAATAATAAAAATGAAACATATAAAAAGTTTTATTAGGGTTATAAAACTCTACCATTAAAAATAATCTAAATCAATTCTGGTTTTAGAGAAGTTAGCATAATAGCGACTTCTTAAGATAGGTTATTAACATGCTAACTTCTCTAATACCAGAATTGATTTTAGATTATTTTTAATTGTGGCTTCCTACAACCCTAATAAAACTTTTTATATGCTTCTTTTTTGTTTATTTTTCGTAGTTTTATTTTTTCTAAAAAGTACTTTAAACTGCATAAATAATGTAAAATTAAATTGAATTTATTAGCCAATCAGATGAATTTCTGTCTATGACATTTATTTACGTATAAAACTATTATAAATTATCAATGCTTGTTTGATCATAAATTGTAGGGTGTGAGTATAAATTTAAGAGTGTTTAACTATTAAATTATAATAACAATTAATACTCTAATCAATTACATAAATACAGTTTGTAAGTATATTTTAAATTATATTTTTAAATAAACGTTAAATTATAAATTAACACTATAAATTGTAGAAAGTGAGTACAAATTTCAATGATCTTTATTTATTAAACTATAAATTAATCAATTCCAATTGATTACATAATTACAGTATGTGAGTATAAATTTAAAGATACACTACATGTTAAATTATAATTTTAAGGAATTTCTTTAATACTCCAACAAATTAAATAACAGAGAGTAAGTATAAATTCCAACGATATTTATTTTTAAATTATAATCTTATCAGTTATAACAAATTAAGATTCCAATAAATACAAAATTATAGAGTGTTGAGTATAAAATTTCATGATATTTATTTATTAATTTAAATTAATCAACTGCTCTAATCGATTACATAAATTACAGTCTGTAAGTATAATGTTCAATGATATTTATTAAATTATAAATTAATCAATACCTCAATCAAATACAAAAATTACAGAATGTGAGTATAGACATCTTCAATATAAATTCTTTAATTATGCTGAATTCTAATTAATATAAAAAAATTGCTAGGATGTGAGTATAAGCTTCAATAATGTAATAGGAATATTAGTGTATGGAATAAAAATTAACAATAGTAACACATAATAGGAAGTAAGTGAAATTTTCAATTTATTCAATCTGATTAAATATAATGAATTGTTCAATTAATTATATAAATTTTAGATCGTAAGTATAGATTTAAATAATGATTTTATTTATAAATAATGATATTTCTATTAATTATATAAATTATCAGAAAGTAGGTGTAAAAAAATACATATTTTATTAAAATTTGTTTAATATGAATTACTGTATAACTTACATCGATTGCTAGGGAGTAAGTATACTATAAAATTTTAAATTGTCGTTATTAATTATTGGGTTTGCAAAAGGTTTGTGAATCTTACAGGTCATTAAAAAGTTGATTTCTTAACGCTAACGTATTTTTATGCTGCATAATGCTTGATAAATATATAATAATAAGACATACGTATATTTGCTGTTCCTTATATACAGCATAATTTCAATAATTTCATGTGATTACATAAAAAAAAACCATAAATTGGAAATCGCCTAACAACTCTCGTGATTTCTTTTTACTGGTCCGCAAAATTTACAAAACTTTGCAGACCGCGATAAACCGATTTAATAATGAAACTAAAATATTCTAATCATTTGCATAAAATTTTCTGTAGGGTGTAAGTGTAAAATTTAAGTACTTTTATTAAGTTTAAATTTTAAATAGATACACAATTAATTATATTAACTTTCAGGTCGTAAGTTCCATTGCACTTATTTACAAGATTTGAGCTCACAATCATAAAATTTTTAATCAATTGTATTAAAATACAAATTTATAGTTTGTAAGTAAAATTATAAATATATTGTTAAAATTTCATAGTATATTATATTTAAATATTCTAAATGATTATATAAATTACCAGAAAGTACGTATTCCAATTATTAAATTAGGATTTCACAATAAATCAATAACATTATAATCAATTTTAATTTCAGAAAGTAAATATAAAATTTTTATCATATTATTTATTATTATAAATTAGACTTTACAATGAATTAATCAATGCCCAATATTCTTTTAATTAATATCAGAACGTGTGTATAAAATATTCAGTAATGTCCATTTTTACGATCAGGATTTCATAATAAATTCTCCCGATAATTTACAGGAAGTGAGTATAAATTTTTTGATAATAATTATGAGTAGCAAAGTAGCGAACATGATAAATTTAATAATTAACATTTGCAAACTCTAATTAATTATAAAATTATACTGTAGAAAGTAAGTATAAATTTTAATAATACTTTGAATAGAGCATTATTCACATCAACATCTGATGAAACAAGCAACTTATGATTGATACGTACAATGGCTGCAAAAAAATCCGGAAAAATAATATACAACAAATTTCTGCCATATTTTAAGTATGGCTAAATTATTAATTCTTTGATTAGATTTAAACGAGAATGCTAAAAATAACAAGATTCGTTTAAATTATCGAAAGTGGATTAGTCTTACATGATTGACGATTATTCGCAGTGATACGTCAATACACCAAGGATGGCTTTTCTATTTTTGATAATTTTTACTTAACCGAATGCTAACGTTCATATCATTTATTTAAAACAAAAATCATCGAAAACAGATCAACCATACATGAATATCAGCAATATATTATCAAAACGATTGCTTATTTCCATTAATTTATGTTTGATCCGTTTAATGGCTATATTTCGAAAATAGCAGATCCGTTTTTACTATCTTATATTTAAATGAACCTACAGTCTGTAGCATTCGGTTAAGTCCTGAATCATCGAAATTGATTCGATAATTATCGATTTATGGAACGAATGACGCGACAATTATTTCCGGATTTTTTTTTTTTTCAACTACTTTCAGCATTAGGCAAATTTTTTATAGTTATTGTATGGGTATGTATGAATAGCCCAGTTACACACATGATCATATTCCGTGCATTCGGCACGGATTTAAATATGAACCCGTGTGTAACTGGGTTATTCATATTACCCATATAATAACTATTTTATTGATTTTAATACAAACTAGGGGGTTAGTGAACCATGTATATGGTTTATAACACAATTTCTGCAATTATAAATGCACTTTCATTATTTAGTTAAAAAACAAGTTTATTAAGCTTCAATGTATTACTGCGCTTTTCAAATTACTGTGATCAGTGATTTTCATACATCACACCGGAAATCAGAAACCTAGAATTGCAATCTGTGATTGGTTAATAATAATTTTTAGTCAATCATTTTTTCTAGATTTCTGATTCCCAGTGTGATGTATGGAAATCACTGATCACAGTAATTTGAAAAGTGCAGTAAATGCTGTTCAGACATACAACGACTTTTACAAGGCAATTTTTTTAGGCGAATTATAGTTGTTTTCATTATTTGGGGATATTTGAAAATTGAAGATGACCGAATCGATATGTTTTGATGTTGGCCGACGTCACTAACTTATTGACTTCGACTCAGTAACTGCCGTCAAAAAAATTTTATGATGTTGGCCAACATCGCTAACTTATTGACTTCGACTCAGTAACTTATCGATTCGGTCAAAAAATTTTTAAGATGTCTTAAAAAAATAATGAAAATAGAAATCGCATTTGATATCTGAAGAAATTAGCGTCCAGATGCCTTCTGCATATTGTAATCTATTTTCAACTGAGTATGAGATCTTTCATATTTGATTTCTTATTCCTAAACAATAGAAATTCTTTATTATTACAGAAAAGAACATAATATAGAGAATTTCTTCGCTTGCAAGAAATAAGGCATCCAAAAATGAAAAAAGTCTTATATGGATTTAGAAAATTTATTCATTTGTTATCTGCATTGTATTTGTTTAATTATTTGTATAAATTAGAGGTTTTATTAATCGTTAAAGTTTCATCAGAAGTTGAAATTTCTCATAAAGATGGTTTAGTCTTGTCAGAGATAGAACTTTAATAATTTCATAATTAAATATTATTTCTATAAATTTTGTAAATTACAGAAAGTGAGTAAAAATTTAAACGATATTTATTTATTAATCCAAATTTTAATTAATTAATGTTCTTAATAATTACAGCATGTAAGTAAAGTTTTTAAAATGTTTATTGGATATGCAATATAATAATAATAAATTACAAATCTGACAAATAATATTTTATATAACAATTGCTTGCAATATTAGGTATTAATAGTAGCTGAGGAGTATAAACTGCCAGAAAATCTTCAAGAGCAATTAGAAATTGCAATAGAAGAAATGAAAAAATCACCAAAAAATCTTCAAAAGCAATTGGAAAATGCAATAGACGAAGTGAAAAAATCACAAAGAATATTAGATCGTCAAGAATATTTTCAAGAATATCTTCAAAAAATTAATGATTTTGATGAAAAAGCTTTGAAAATTGATGATCTTAACCAAATGATTGATTTAAAATTTGAGATTCTTTCCAATTTAGCTACTCTAAAAACTGGAATTTTTTTACTGGTTGAGAAAGTGAAAAATATTGACTTAGAACGCATTTGTCTAAATGAAATTAGTTTAACAGTTGGCGAAATTGACAAATACTTACCTGAATGGATTAATTGTTGTACTAAAATTACCAACAAATTTGAAGAACTCAGTTATTTTATTAGTAAGATAGAAGATAGTCACTTTTTTTTTACGATCCAAGAAGAAATATTATCTAAACTTGCCGATAAAAAAACAAACTTAAATCATATGTCTAAAAAAATTGATAATCTGAAAGGATTTTTTCCAAGCTTCAAGAATATTGAAAAGGAAAAGAAAAAGGTAAAAAAACTAGTAATTAATTTTTAATAACATTATACTTACATTGTTTTGTTTTAGATACAAAATGAAAGTTATTCAAATTTTCTCCAAATTATCGGATTAAAGTTGGTATATGATTTGACTACTGAATTGGAATACGCAACAAGTAGATTGAAACTTTTGGATATTCAAAAAATATTGGGTATTTTTTAATTATACTTTAATAATAAATAGTAAGTGAATTATTACTAAAAATATATAAAAATTTTATTATACTATAGAGTTTTGGAAAAAGCTTTCTGATGAATTGCGATTAAGTGAAGAATTATTGAAAAGTTTTGAAAAAAGTGAATTATATGTCAAAGAATATTATCTTGATTATTTGGTGGATAATTTGACGGAAATAGGATGTTCAATTAATAATTTTTGCAAACAAATCATAGATGGAAAGACTGTAAAAATTTAAATAACTCTTTAAGAGAATACAGTCGGACACCGTTATAGTCACTCTCAATATAGTCACAACCTTGTCATAATCGCCTTATTTTTTTGACCAAGCTTTATAAAACATAAATTTTAACCTTTACATAGTCATAACCTTTTATAATCGCCAAAATTTTGTTTCCAACCCGGTAATTATATCGAGGTCTGACTGCATATAAGATAAAGATACATCAAATATTAATTATTAAAATAAACTATATTTTTATCAGACATGTAAATATTGTAAATTGTATAGTAAGTTGATTCCTGACAATTGCAAATTCTGTGTATGTACCTTGCATTTAACAATAGTATTAGCTTTTTTTAATTAAAATGTAAAGATTATTTAATAAAATAATTATTAGCTCTTCCCACAGATTACTTTGCCAAACAGAAACAAGAAAAAAAATTTTTCTGCAATGTTAGCGATACAAAGTTAATTTCTTGGTTTTCATAACATAAAATAAATTTTTTGGCCCGGCAACCCGGATTATTTTTTTTAAAAAAAAATTTTTTAATTATAGATAGTAAATTAATAAATATAATAAGCTTACAATGCAAAAATAAATTCAAACCGAATCTTATAATAAATTTAATTTATATTTCCTCCAATTTTAAAGCTTATCGCTATAGTGGATCTGGGGTCTAGTCATGGTGAGAGTTTGTATCATAAAAGCCCACTAGAAAAACTTGAGATATGCAGCCGATAATTGCATACTGTCTAATTGCATATACTTTTTAAATACATAAAAATTTTTGACTTTTAATTATTAACGCAAAGATGGTTCTTATGACTTAAATGCATATATTGTCTATATGCATAAAAAAGTC